AGCAATCACTTCTTCGCCTGATCTTTTGACGAAGATCCCAATTGCTTAGAGCTGAAATATTCCGCGGTCATAGTTGAGGTGGGGTTAGGGCATAACTTGGCTTCCATCGTCCCAAACCTATGACCCCATTTGTTGCAGTTGTAACACTTGAGACCATCCAAAGTTTTGCCGTTAATATCCAGCACTAACTTTTTAGACCGATTACGGGAATGATGGTCCTCGTCCGACTTACGCTTCTTGCCGCGATTGGTCGAGCCGTCTGACATAGATTGCACTGGATCTCGACGACGAAAGTTGTTGGAGCGGTTAGAATTATTGCTCCAATTATCCGAGGACTTAAACCTTGAGGTTGACTGATGTTGATTGGCGTGAGACAGACGGTCCGAAATGACATTGTTGTCCTTACTGATGGCAATCTGAGCGACGTCGTGTACTGTAAGATGTTCTCCAGCCTGTTTAGATCGCAAGACTTCGTCCTTAACGTGTTTCTGAGCCGCGCTACCGTGGTGAAGGCGTTTGATGAAGTCTTCGACTGGGTTGTAGTTGTAATTAACATGCTCGGCGGCAATCATAAAGTCCTGATACTCCGTCCACAGATCCAAAACAGACTGCCCTGTCTTCTGCTTGATGGATTGATGCCTGATGTCGATGCTTGTAATGTCGACGGTGGAAGGGAATCGCTCGGTAAGAAAGCGGAGAACACCGTTCATCGTACGAGGTTCTTCTTTGTGAGTAATTAAATCGGTCAAAGCGACCAAAGCCGACCCCTTGAGGTATTGAAAAACCTTCGGAACGTAGATTGACTCGTCGATGAAGTTGAGGGCAAGATTAATTTTAAATTTCTGAAGCCATAACGTGGCGTCCTGGTCCATGCCTCCATGAAATGCTTTGACGTTGCCGCTACGTTTCAACGCCTTCGCAGCGTTACCTACATCCGTTACAAACACTTGGCGCTTGTCTGTGTCATCGTCGCTGTCGTACCGATTAACTCGACCAACCGACCTAGTGATGACTGAGACAGGTCGTTCCTGAACAGGACCACAAACGGGGAGGGGCCTGATTGATTTGGAATCAGTCAACATCATAGACTGAAGTTGACGACTAGCACCGCTAACCGAAACGATGGAAGGCTTGGGCAGTCGTTCAATGATGACCGGTGAGGGAGACAGATGGCTGCGAGGAGATCGTTCGTTGATGATCGAAGAAGGAGCCAAGCCGTGATTTTTGCCCTTATCAACCGGAGCCACCGGAACGTCCGTTTCATCTTCAATGGTGGCCTGAGTTCTGATTTGATCGGCGGACTTATCCTTAGAGGAGGTGGACTCGGTGTCGGTCTTGGCGTCAGTGAATTCGAGTCGACTAGCTCGCGGGCCCCTGGTAGTGATTGTGGACAAAGAGAGGCGGGAAGAATCTCGAGTTGGAGACTCCTCTTCAAGATTAGGAACGAAACTTGCATAAAGAATCTTGTTAACCGATTTATGCGGAGTGGCGTTACGGGATTGAATCGTGTCTTCATCGACTGGAGTACCGTCGAGGTTGCACTTCAACAAGAGGGCGATATCGCGATGGAGTTGAAAGAGCTGATTACGATCGTGGCGTCCGAGATGGATGTGGATAAGTGTCTGGAGGTCGGTGAACTTATCCGTGACTTCGGCAGCATAAAAGACTTCGTCCTCCCCGAGTTCCGGCATGTGGGCATGAAGACACGCGAGCTGACCTTCAGTGAACTGAATACCACCGCCAGTCTGCTGTTCGGAGGGAGCGCTAGATTGCCCTGAAGAAGACATCCTTGTCGCTGACTTTTGGATTAAGAAAAAAAAAAATTCGGTTCTTATTAGGTTAAACTGAAAAAATTCCCTTTTATTAAGAAAAAGACAAGATCTGACTGGACTTGTTCCACTAACCTTTGTCGTTGATTGATCTTTATTATAAAGAAAGAAAGATTCCGATGTTTCGAGAAGAATTAGTCTTAAGGCTGAAACACGAAAAAAAAAGGAATAAAACGACAAGGTAAAAAAAATCAGAAATCGAAGGATCTGAATTAAGCTCTCGCTACCAATGTAATAGGGCCCGACTTAGGGTACTGTTAAGACTTAAGATTAAGGGGCTTACAAGTTAAATCTTAGGACGATTAGGGTCAAGGATTAAGCGAGTTTAGAAGAAACAAGGAGTCCGAAAGGACAGATAATAATTGAATTACGGTATAAGCTGAAAGATAGTTTATAAGCTTTTAAGAGCTAATGATTAGAAAGTAGTATTAAAGAGATTTGAAGTCTGAAAGAAGACAATAGGAGATTGTAGATTAAGGTTGATGAGAAAGATTGAAATGATAAAGTAAGAATAAAAGATTAATTGAGGTCTGAGGAAAAGAGAAGCTTTCCGAAGATTACAGGATATTATATATGAAACTAGAATAGCTAGAAGGCTGATACAGATTAAAAAGGGCGAGTACAATATGGAAAGGGCGAGCCCTGTAATCCAGCCAGAAACAAAATAAGAAACCGTTTACATCACAACGCCCACGATGGCAGATACATTCCGTGGCTTGTGCTCTAATACCTAGAATGAAACCGATCTTGATGAGGTAATCTTGCTTAGTCTTAAAGTAGAGTTTTAAGTTGTTTTGATAATGTCTGAATTGGTAGAAAGGCGGGTAAGGTCAGTAGCCCTGCTACAGGCTTGACACTAAGCCGGTGAGTAATTTCTTTCTTCCTGCCGGACTACTTGGTTCTTTCTTCACTTCTTTTAGTCTTACCCACGAAGACTCCTCCTCTTCTACTTCTTCATCTTGATGTTGATAGCCTTCTACATACTCTAACGAACTTTCACTTCTCAGATCTTCCTCTTGACTCTCCATTTGATTTTGATTTGGTCTGGTAGGCTGGTTTTGGCTGGCCTCGGTCGGTGGATCCTCTGTTATGGTAGGCAGGCTTGCCGGTGCCGCAGTTTGGCCTGTTGAAGTAGGTTGGCTTCCGTTGTTTGCCGTGTTTGGAGCCGGGTCTTCTTGTTGTTGACCACCTAAATCTTGTCCTTGTTGATCTCTACCTGTTCCATACCCTCTTACTACAATACGTCTAGTCTTCTGTTCTACTTCTTGCTTCCGTTTAGTTGTTTGTTTCTTTGGTTGCTGTTGACTTTTTAGAGGAGCCGTCGGTTGTCTACTGAACGCTCTTAATTTCTTTCTTGGGTCGTCCACTTCGGGAAAAAGCTCATTTTCATTGTTTGATGCCATTTGATCTACTCTTTGATGATTTATATCTTATCAATCTTTCTATTTTTTATTCTGATTGTAATAACTTGGAATATAACGTTTATGCTTGTCGAAAGTTTGAGTGTGATCAAATCGAGTCAATGAGCTTTGAGGTATGAGTCGCGTCCTGAGAAGCTTGAAGATTTCCTGTATTGGAACTTCAAGCTTCTCTTTGGTTCGAGTACATTAAGGTTATGTCCTTATGTACTCTGTACGTACGCTCTCAGTCATACCACTGCTCATAACTCCACCCCGTAGACAAGTGTCCAAACTGCGTTCCTTGTCTGAACTTACCATCATCTTTATTCTGCTGTGATATCTTTTATCACACCGCTGTGCTCTTTACCATTCCCCGATTCTATCTTCCTTTACATTTACCTCTGATGACGCTCTTTACCATCTGGTAAATCCTATAAGACGTGATGACTTTCGAACTCCGTTTCTCCCATTCTATCATTCAAATTCTCTTAGGATTCATTAAGAATCTCCTGATTAGTATTCTCATTGTTTCAAGAATTATATTCATCTCCGTGATAAGAATATTATTTCTTCGACCCACCCTCCTCTCCCTCTTACATCTGTAATACTTCTTAGGCCGCCCCATGCGGACCTCTTTTTATGCCTCTGAGTCTTTGCTTATGTACTTAGACTATTCCGATAGCCTTACTTTATGCAAACAGGGCTCCATGCCCCGATTCTAGCTAAAACCATCTCTCGTGAGTTTTAGCGAAGATCACCCACGAGCACCAGACCTATTCTGGATCTGACGACGCGAGCGGCGTTGTCCGAAAATGAGATAATCGGTTGGAATTGGTATAAGCGTAAAAGAGCACCATCCAAGTGGGCGTGCTTTGAATGCGCATGTTCTGTCCGCGACTCTTGGATTTCCTCGGCGAAACGTCAATGGAGGTTTAGTTGCTTGGTAGCTCAGGAACGTTTTGGTGCGATGATCTTCTGCTTCCTTACACAGTTTCAAAGGAAAACCCATCCCCTTATGGGCCAAGAAGGGTGTTGGCGGAGCTCAAGCTATTCACTTGATAGCCAAGGCCACTATTCAGACACCAGAAGTGGTCTACAGTTTTCTCAATCATCCCTCAAACGTGCCTTTGAGGATGGAGAACTCACCGGTGGAAGGAACAATACTTCGCATGACAACTCGGGTTCTGACATCAGACCTGGACTTGACTTTAGTGGACGATCAACCGATATATTCGAAATTCCTTACCTCCGGCGCAGACCGTCCCTTATTCAAGTGGCCAGAGATCAAAGACTTTTTGATATGCGGAGGCCAGACCACGGTCATATTCAGAACTTCAGATCCCGTGTTGCTCTAGCAGACTTTCTCAAGCGTCAACAGGGCAATGAAGAGCAACTTGTACTATATGACGGGATGCAATCTTTACTCTGACTGGCAGTAACAATCTTCATGGCGCACAAGCTGGGAGCCTATAAAAGGATGCCCGTTTCTCCAATTCCCTATTGATCCTATCCACAAACTTTTTCTTGTTTCTTGCATCCATCACCCTACCATCTTATCCATCGATATATCTTCCTACTGAATTATCCATCAATATATCATCTCACCCATTAACTTATCAATCCTATCAACAACCCTTTCATTTTCTCACCTGATTAAAGCTTCAACGCCTATATCATTCGTCATCCCGAATTTCTATTGTAGAGCTCTTCCAATCATCCGCTCTGTCAATCGTAACAGTCTCAAACAAACCGTAAAGCTTACTTACCAACTATGGCCTTCACATATCTTGACTCAAGTATCGCCGAGAAGTCTGCCGAGGAGCCTTGGTTCTATATGGAGCAAGCCGTTCGCCAGTACGCCCAAAACACGATCCCCAAAGATTTAAGAAACCTACAGGAAGTGAGCAATTTTTCTTTCAGCTTGAGCAGGGAGACATCTCTAACCTTTCTATCATCGCGTCATCAGGATGATAGGTCGGATCCCTTCGAGCTCTTGCCAAGCAATTTTCTCCCCACATCGGCTCCACATTTCCTTGTTGAGGTATGTATATTCTTTGTTCCGGTCGTAATCAGTGGAGATACATTCTGATGATTGATCTGCTTTCTAGAATACAACACCAGATGATCAACGCGCCGGTTTGATAAATTCGGAAACTGAAGATGCGGGAGAATCCTGCGATGCATTATCAGATTGGCCATTTGATGGTGATGATAGTATCATCGAAATCGAAGTCTTCGACTCTTCGACTAGCTCGCGAGTCATGGGAAGTTTATCACGCTACTCTTCTGAATCAGAAGACACCAACTCGAATGGATCCGAAAGCAACTTTGATTCTCTCTTTGACGACTATTCTACAGAAGACTTTACCATCTGTCAAAACGGCGAACTCCCATCGATCGTAGTTTCTGCACCCAGCTCCACGGCCGCGGTACAGTCGGAGGAAAGGCTACGGAAGCCAGTTTCACTCGAAAGCCGTTCATGGACCGAACACGCCTTTCATCTTCCCAATGATAACGAGCGGCACGATCACATCAATGTCGAAGTAGCGGAAGAATTCGAAAGGGAGTTGCGATTCAAGCCTGGTTTCTTATCAAGCGACGAAGCTATCCGCAAATCGACTGATGTTATCGATTGCGACGAAGAAGAAGTTGAAGGAATAAACTTGGGGGATGTCATGATATTATCACAACGGTCTCTAGAGGAAGGCGACGCCGAACCGCCTTTGAATCTTCTTTTAAATCTCGGCGTTGAAGATAGTATGATGCAATTAGATAAGTCGGCCGAAGACGAACAAGCACTGGGCGACTCTAGTAACGCATCCCACGATCTCAACTTCATCGATCAAGAAAGACGAGAAAAGCAGTTGCTAGTTGCATACAGATACTCAAGAGCAATTCAATTGAACCCACACCTTGCCCATCTTTTCGTTTAGAAATTTCGATATGGGTGATCGGTTTCGCTGTTGTTGTCTACGGAAAATCGATGTGAAATCTATCATAAATACCGCGAGCTGAAATTATTACCTCAGCACCTTGGAAAAAATCCATTTGGGATGATAAATCAAACATCATTGCGCTCTGCCAGATACCGTATAAAAATATATCATTCCAATACCCGAACATACCTCAATACAGCTTGTAAATAAATAATTATTTCAAACATTCCATAGGCAACATCTAATTGTGCTTTTTTTGTATTCACAATCTAATGCCTATCTCATCTATAATTCCTATCTTTGTAGTATCTTTTATTTATTTGATAACAGAAATTGAGACATGTGACCATGAGAGCCACTTGACACAAACCTCTTTGGTTTAAGAAGAGCACAAAGCATCCAAATACATTTGAAGAAAAAGTGGCTCTGTTATTTAACAAATCACAAGTGGATTCAATTCAATCCACCGAGAATGCATTGAAACAGCGCAAGTTTAAGAGCCCAGTTGCCAGGGCTGGAAGCCAACAATGGTGCATCACTGGCCGTCAATTGTGCCAAGTAAATGAGGGAAAACTTTGGCTGAATGAGATAATATTTGAGAGGAGAACAATAACCTTGTCAAAAATGTTTTGAAAAGAGTGTTGTGAGTGAGACAAATAATACAAGCTGACACACAGTGCCTGTCTGGGCTGCATCCAATGGTGGGGGTCCAAAAAGGTACAAATTCAAGAGGGCCCTGACTAACCAAGTCCCTCCTCAAATTTTAGGCATCTTCTGGAGCCTACAAAGGAGGGTATCACAACTTGTTTGTGCTTTGGGCCTGTTTGGCTGGTTTAGCCAAAAAGCATTGCACAAAAACACTTTTTCAATCTGCCCCTTTTCATGGGGCGGAATGAAAAACTTGAAATTTGGTTATACAATTACCCAACACTCAACCAAAGAGCTCATCAAAAAATCGAAACAGAAGGGCATATGAGGGCAAAAACTCTTTTTGGTCTCAAAAACAGCCTCAGGGCTGTTTTCAAAATCAAAGAGGTTTTGGATCAAAAACGGTTTTTGTTTTTGATCAAATGGAGTTGCCAAATGCCAGTGTTTGTGATGAACATCAAAAACTGTTTTGACCCCAAAACATTTCCAGGCTTTGGTGGTGTTTTTGACCAAAAACCGTTTTGGGGTTCCAGCCAAACGGGCCCTTAGATTCCCTGATTACAGATTTTTGAAGATTCAAGACTGCATCTACTGTAGTTCATGCATGCACCATTGCCTCTTTGAGAAATCTGACTCATCTTTTACACAGTCTTCCAGAAACCATCACATTGGTGAATTGTAATTTCTTGCTTTGAGTGGAAGAAGAAAAGGTGTAACATCTGTCTGGCTCAACTGTAGAACTGTAGAGACATTTAGGGACAAGAGATGTTTTGATCTACATTTGACTCACATACGAATGTGTATGATCTGCCGTCTTTGCAGGAAGAAATCCCTTATAATAGGGGGTGTCAAGTTAAATTTTTTTACAGCAAAAACCGTAAAAAACTTTCCCGTTGTAGCATAAATTTACGTAAATTTTACAAAAACGGGAAAGTTTTTATGAATCCCGCTTTTGTAAAAACGTAAACAGGTAAGTTTACAACCAAAATTTAAAGACCTCACCTGGGCTGTTTCACTCTTGGAAAAAGGTGGACTAGAGAGTGGATGCAAGCACAACCTTGCATCTTCTTACCAACAGTTTTCTCCTTGCCAAGCGGATAATCGAGGCAAAAAAGCCAAAAAGTCTTGATCATGGTTTACAAGTGATCACAAAAACTCGGCAAAGTTTTTTTACAGTCAAAACGTAAAAACATTCCCGTGTTTAATTCTTTTTGATGTAAAAACTTGAACTTGACACCGTTAATAATAAAGAAAAGTATGCTTACGTGAAAAAAACCGCCATGCCTATCTTTCTATGACTACATATCTAATTGGTGATTATGTATTCCACGCTATGTTATTCCCCTCTTCCTTGGTAGACCACAACGATTTGAGCTTTGGGCGTGTTGGCTGCTTCGAGGGCGCGGCCAACGCTGTAGTGAGCAAAAGCTCTTATTGAGCAAGAGCTCATTTTTATTTATTTATTTATTCTCACCCTTACCCTCACCAGCGGGCCAACTCAACAACCTACAAACTCCCACTTAACAATTCTCATGTTCAATTGCATTTCATTTTTTTGTGAACATCAAACAAAAGTAAATTCAAAAATTATGTAATACATCATTCTTTGTATACAAATTGTTCTTGAAGAAACCATACATCACTACCTCACTCACATAAATGAATAAAGAAATTCATGAATCAACATCAGTACAAAATGAATCAAAGAAGATAGAGAGAAGATACTTATATAACACATCATCATATATTTCGGATCTAAGCATCTTGATCAAAGTAAATCATGAACAACCTTCAAAACAAAAAATAGTCGATTGAAACTGTCTGATTGTCAAGTATGCAAGACCTCTAAACCTTCATGATTGGGTGAAGATCTTAACAATCAATCGATAAACTAACCAAACAACATAACAAGTTCATCAATATTAAACTCATAAGATGACATGAAAAGAAAGAAGATAACAACTTACTCGATGTGATAACAAGATAAACCAGTCAGGGATTCTCGGATGTAAAGAGGAGAAGTGTTCTGGAGAAGATAATTGCCGTTGAGATTGAGGCAATGTGGCGATCAGCGATGCGAGCTTATGTGTGATTCGTTGAAAGTGACGTTGATTTGCAATGTCAAGATTTCGGAGAGAGGTTGTTGGAAAGGAAATGGAGATGGATACGCTGCTGAAGTCAAATTCAATTGATTGAAGGGGTTGAAATCAAAGTTGTTGATTGTCAAGAGGGATGAAAGGGTCAATCGAGGAGATTTAAAAGGGTGAATTATGGGAAATGACATGTGGGAAGGGTTCGGGTGGTTATGGGTTTATGAAATATGGATATAATTGACTGCTGTGTGCGCGTGGATGAAATAATTTTTTTTGAGTATTTGTGGAGGGCTCTTTGACCCATATATGTTTTCTTTTTGGATGATCACTAATAGAGCTAGAGTTTTATTTACTTAATTTATTTTAGCAGTCCTTGGTCACTTTAAAATCCGCCCCCTTACGAAGGGGAGATATTTAATTTTATGTAGTGTTATATTTCTTTTTTTTGAATACAAGTCCGTAGTCCGTTGAAATCAAGTCTGGAATAACACCTAATTGATGTTGAGAGTTATTTTTTTATTGTGAGCCAATTACCATCAGGGTAATTCAGGCTTTAGTAGTCGATTGTTTTGGTTATCTCATTTTTTATCTTGATAGAAAGAGCAGCCTTTAGGCAACTCTAACCCTTTTACTTATAGGTGCTTATATATTGTTCACCCCTTGTGGTGGATGAGCTTGGGGACCAAAATTTCTGTGGGGAATTTCAGGGGCACAATTGGGAGCATACCATTCTCCCCCCACTCCCTGCAGCCTGGGTTTGCATGAGAAAGTCGGGGGGAGAGGTGGAAGGTAGCACTGAGTTGAGCAGTTCAATTTGGCAACTCTGATTCTATGTTGAAAAATAGTTTGGGTTAATATAGTTTGTAATCTAAAATACATAAGATGAAAAATTTATGAAGTACATGAAAGGAAGAAAAACAGCAGAGGATTAAAGATGTCTCATGCACCAAAGTTTTATTGATGCAGATGAAACCTACTTAGTATATGTGACTAAATCTTGAAGAAAGTTTCCAAGGAAGATATTGAGCACACCTTGTGTCTCTTTGTAAATGAGTTCATAGAAACACTTCTTCCCTCCCCTTTGGGCTATAGTCTAATTACATTTGTTCCAGAATGGAATGTTCCATTATAGAACTCAAAATTCAATGCTCTTCATTTTCTATTTAGTTGAGTCCCTGCACATCCCCCGGCGGCAGGGGTTGGCTGCAGGATAGCTCAAGAGGTCCAGGGAGACGCCAGGGCAATCCCCCATTCAAGCCTATTGTCTTTGCAGATGAGATGATTTTCTGACAACATGAGCCCCAAATTCAATCCAATCCTGACATGTCTTGACACTTTCAGGAAATGTATGTACAAACTTTGATCTTTGTTGCTTGTGTTTTGGTCTTCCTACAGATGCTGGTCAAAGATGGAGAGGCTGCATAGAAGGTTTGATGGAAAGTCAATCTCAAGGATATTGCTACATTGTGTGGTAAAGGTGAGTCATATAGGATATAATTCCAGATATAACAGTAGTCAATTAGGGGATAAAAAGTTAAAACTGGGAGTTTTTTCCCAGTTTCCCAGTTTCCCAATCACCGCCAAAAATGCAAACTGAGAAACTGGGAGAACGTGCGAAAGTTCCAAACACAGCCAAAAACAAAAACTGGGAAACTGGGAAAAAAATCCCAGATTTAACTTTGTATCCCACAAATGAACATGCCAAGATGAACAAACAGCAGCTGCAGGAATCAGGATACTCCAAGAATTGTGGTTTGAGAAGTGACAAGCAAAGACAGTGTGGATTACTGATTGATGATGCACAGCATCCATTTTACTATGGCACATTGAAGTGCACACACGGAGAGGTTTGGAAAAAAAATGAAAAAAAGTTTCATGCAGTTTCTTCATCAGACTTCGGTGAAATTCCAGCACCCCTCTAATCTCAAGAAAGGATATCAGACTTCCTATGTCTAACAGTCTCACCACCTGAGGAACTCAAGAAGGGCGGTCTGTGCATGGTGATAAAGATCATTTGAAGCTCGTAGCCACTCTATACAAGATATCTTTTGTGTGAGCACGTCAACCTGACACTTCAGTTTTTACACTGTGATGCTATTACAGTGTGGCGGCTGGCCGCCTAATATCTAGTTAAAAATAAAAATAAAGATAGAAATCAAAAGTTACCCTGAAGTTTTTTGGACCCCTTGACTTCAAAACCTCTTGAGAAGAATCTGAAGAGGGCAATAGATGGGAAAGACTTTGTGCTATAATTTTCCTGGAAGACATTGATGGATAAATTCATGTAGGACTGTGTAATTGAGGATTGAATACTGTAGCTCTTGTCAAATCCAAATCTAATCAGCCTGAGTCTGAAACACATTGGTAAGTCCACCTCCACAGGATTTGGAGGAAGTGCCTAAATTGAGAGAGACTTGGTCAATTTAGAGAGGGCCCACAACCTCTAGGGTGTACTTGGCAGGCAGTGTATCATTGTCACAAAGTAAGAACTTATATCTTTTAGAAAATATAAGGAAATGAGCTCATATCCCTCCATATCTAATTCCTCAGCCAATACCTGTGATAGCACCACTCTCTCATAACTTGAAAACATATAATGTCCCTTTAGCCATCATTAGTGCAGGTGTTTAAGTTTCAACACTTCACACTAGATAGGATCCAAACTCTTGGTGAACAAATCTCTCTTTGAGTTGCTGTCAATTCAACCCTACAACCCACAAGCTAAATGATATATTTCATCTTTTGTCTTCTTGTGCACAGCATTGATACTTCTTGCTCTCCATCAATCCTATACTATAAATCACAATATAGCAATATAAAGGCTTGAAAATTGCTTTATCAATCATCTCTGCATAGATCAAATTCATGACCAACTTATGCAATACCATGATAGAAATGTGCAGCACATCTCTTCCTCTTAAACATAGTGAGATCTTGTTTCCAAAGATACTCATCAATACAAGCTATTGCCAAGTGTTGTCCAACACACCAGCCAGTACACTTCCTTAAAAAAACTGAATCTAGAGCAGACATGAGGAATGTTGAAGAAGCAAATTGTTCCTTCTGTGACTGTCAATAATCAGAGTAATAAGGGTTCACAGGTGACGAGTCTACATTCTCACTAGAAAATTGAATGCCAGTGGCTCATATATGCTCTTGAAGATTTTCCCAATCATCATTGATATCTTGTCAAAATGCCTTATAAGACAATAGAGGTTGAGACCAACCCCACTGCGAACAGACATTTGATCTATTTTTGTATATTTTTGGGTGTGGTTGCTTCAAACAATACCAATGGGATGTTGACACCTGACTCCTGAGGACCCACTCTCTTTATCTTCTGTTATGTGAATTTCAGACTGTGCCAATTTAGCGAGACAGGATCAGTGGCTTGCTGTCCCCTGAGACTGATTTTCCAACTTGGACGCTTGTGAGACGAGACCAGTGAGCGCCGCATCCTGGGTTCAACGTATACAGAGGTGAGGTAGATTCAGCGTGTGATTTGCTTGTTTGCAAAACATCGACTAGCTTGGCAGAAAGAGGCTCAATTAAGCTGTGAAATTGGGTCGACGTTGGGTGGAAGAGCTAAGGCAGAGCCAATAGAGTGACGAGTCAAAAGCCATCGCTAGGGCAAGTAACGAGATGGGAGAATATCTCAACATCCCCGGGAGTCGCTGTTTGAGAGTGATGATAGATCAGGCAAAGGTACTTGATTCTGCAGGACATGACAATGAAAAGGGGTGCGTGATTCAACTGGGTCACATTGAAGTCACAGGTCTCGGGTAGGAAACCGGCACGTCGGGTTACATAAGCCGAAAACTAGATAGGCGAGGAAGCTAAACATAGAGCCATGAAGCCGTCGACAGGGGCATATGGTGGCAAGCCGATCAGAATGGGAAGTGCAACTAGAAGAGTGTACAAGCCGGGATCTTATGACGGTGACCATATGAAACGCTCTCCGAGCGGAGGGCGAACATACGGGGACAGGGCAACATGTGTTTTCGAGGTAGTGCCTGTCATAGTTAGTCTTATCATTACAATCTACTTCAATTTCTTCTTGGGTCGGAGCTGAGATGAGTGTCCACATTTACGCTTGCGGCAGTTGGTAGCACGGGGGCAAAGACGGGCCTATCGCAAAGATGAGAAAAGTTCAGGTTTGAGTCACTATCTTGAACCCAAGCGAGATATGAGCAGGTTGAGACAAACATAGCATTTTCGGCAGATCATTCGTTCACAGTTGGTGATCGAGGCCAAGGCTTTGAGCGAAGGTTCAATGATTCCACCACGGAGCCGAAGGACAAGATGAAGGGTAGACTCCTTTTGGATGTTGTAGTCAGCCAAAGTGCGACCGTCTTCGAGCTGCTTTCCGGCGACTAGAGAGACGAGGACAAGTCAGAATCAAAGGTTTGCCGGGTAGATCGTCGAGATAGGACGCACAGATTAGACGTTGTTGGTCTGGGGGAATGCCCTCCTTGTCTTGGATCCTATGTCAAAAACGGGCCATCAATCAATACATTTCGGCCTTAAATTATCCTGGCATACGCACTTGGCCTTCACATTGTCGATCGTGTCAGACGACTCGACCTCGAGGGTGATGGTCTTGCCGGTCAAAGTCTTGACGAAGATTTGCCTATGAGCGAGTGGAGAGGATGTGATTCAGAATGGACTGCGAGACAGATAATCGACAGTGTCTCGAGGTGGACGAGAGAGAAATCCATGACGAACATTTTGAGCTATATCGGCAAAGTCTTGAAGGTTGCGGTGTGTCAGTGCCTCAAGGGCTATAATGCACAAAAGCCTTTAGTTAGTACCGGCACTGTAGCGGTACTAACTGGGAGCGGTAGTATCATTAAGCTTGGGTTAGGTTTCGATCCGTAATACATACACCACCCGCACCCCCCCCATTAGGTCTCGCCACCCACCCCTCCCAGCTTGATCCAATTTCAATCTTTCATGGCTGCCAGCACTCGTCTCTTTATTGCTGATAATCTTGATTTCATGCGTCATGGGCTTCGGTATCAGCAATCTCCTCAGTCAGCTTTGTCGTTCTATCACAAGATATGTTCATGTTATCCAACAAATATCCAAATACGGAATAATTTTGCGTGCACACACTTGAAAACAGCGTTGCTCCTACGAAGCAGGGCTCGGAACAAGCGGTGCCCCGTATGAGCCCGTATGGTGCTCTTGATACCCTCCCTGACCCGGCTGGCCTGCCCGTGATACTCGTGATACGACACAATTATGTACGAGAGTGTAAGGTTGACGGCGGATTTCAAGAAACCGTTTACGGTAAATTATATGCTCCCATGACCACTCGAATGACAGAAGAGGCGGCGGATGTTGTGGCGGATCTGCCAGCACATTCCTCTTATGCGTAAGCGTTCGGTCGACCCACAATAGTGAAGCCCTACACATACTCGTTTTCTGCGCTTCTTGATCTTCGCCGGTGGTAAAATCCAAATGGGCCGGCTTGACCTATGAAGTAGATCCTTCCTGATCGGATGACTTCTTGTTACATGCGCTACCTTCAGGACATCGACAAGATCCAGAGGGGTATTGGATCAATACTCGCCATTGTCCGCATCTGATTATTTTCAAGAAGCTTTATCAATTAAAGTCGATACATTGGGCGAATTCCGAGTTTACCTTACTCCACCCAAACCAGTCTCAGCAGACTCGCTATCGCCTTTCAGCAATGACTACTTGGACGAAGAAGACCGTGGATCGATATCTGGGAATGGAGTTGTTTTTGTATTCCATCATGGTGCTGGATATTGTGGCTTGAGCGCAGCTTGTTTTGCAAAGGAAGTTCGTCAGCATGGTCGGGGTGAATTCGGAGTGATGAGTTTTGATTGCAGAGGACATGGTAGGGTTTTTTGAAGCCTTCTACTTCTTCCGTCCTGAATTCTCATGCCTTGGGGGTCTGTTCACAGGAAGCTCTCGTATCGGTTTGGTACCTACGGATCCACCAGATTTATCTCTTTCAACGCTCGCAGACGATATGGTCCGTTTGTTAAAGGTGATCTATCCTGATCGATCTACGGCCCCGTCTCTAGTGTTGATTGGACATAGCATGGGCGGAAGTATAGTAACTGAAGCTTGCGCCAGGATACAAGCCGAAGTAACCCATGTGATTGGGCTGGCCATCCTTGATGTCGTAGAAGGTATTCAATTTTCGGCGAACTTTGATTATTAGATCAGGTCTTTGATATGATTACCTTGATATTTCTGAAGGATCGGCCATTGCCTCGCTACCCCACATGCTATCCCTAGTCAACCTTCGACCTTCAAGCTTTCAATCTAAAGCCGACTGTATAAAATATCAGTGAATCAAACACTTTCTCTACATGACGATGAACCAAGAGTGGTCTATTTTGCTCATCTATTCTTGTTTCCCGTAGTATTGAATCCCGCACAATCCGCAATGTGACTTCAGCAAGGGTATCTGTGCCAGGCTTAATCTCTCAAGCCAGTTCAGCCGGCTCAGAATCTACTTCTAAAAAGAGTGCCTTAGCACCAGGCCAATCCCGCGGAGATGAATTTACTTGGATCACCAATCTGCGCGAAAGCCAGCCATTTTGGGAAGGATGGTATAAGGATCTTTCGAAAAAATTCTTGTCTCAAAAGACTGCGCGCTTACTAGTTTTGGCAGGCACCGATAGGTTAGACAAAGATCTGATGATTGGTCAAATGCAAGGTTGCAAAGTTTTCTCTTCTTTGATCCATGCCCAGTGATTGGAACTTATGTTACTCCTATGATTCACCACAGGTAAATATCAACTGACAGTGATGGCTGATGTGGGTCACTGTGTTCACGAAGACGATCCCGAGAAACTTGCTGAGGTGGTGATCACTTTTTGCAAAAGAAATGAGACATTCACGAGTGAACAAATCTTAGCCCGTTTGAAGAAACAGCAGTAGCAATGTATTATGAAAGCTTGTTTTCATCTCCTTGAGAAATTCCAAAGTCATATGCTTTATCCTTGACTTGAGTGCCGTCTCTCTTGTATCGATCAATAGTTTGTCCGGGTATGCGATAGAATAGATAGGCGCGCTGATCTCCTTGCGAGGTAGACTTCCAACCTACCTCCAACGAGGGCGTCGTCAGGCAGGTCAAGAGTGGTGATTAAATTTGTGTTGAATGGTCGAGGCGCCGGCGTCGATTGTATAAAAATGACTGTTTGATGACTGGACATTATCCACTACACCGGTGACCTGAGGTGGGGAGACAAGCTCTCAAATGCTGCTCCGCATCGACTTGACTTTGGTCGCTAAGTTATATTTGGTCTTTACTATGGAGTCAGGCTGACCAGGCAATGTTGCGGTTTTGATAGCGCGGCAAACGGATAATCTACTCCCAAAAGTCGTATATATATAAGCACACTACCATCATGGCTGTCGTCCTCATCCATCAACCCTTTGCTTTTCCTCTCTACCTTTAGTTAGCTGTCTCATATTTCAAACTGTGTTTACATTTTTGTTTAAAAACCTTAAAATTTGTGTATTTTACGAAAGCTGTTTGTATACAATTCGAGTCATATAGACTATAGTACCACCGTCTCCTTCCACAATCTTGCCCATTTCTCTTTTCTGTTGATCTTTGTTAAACCCGATCAAGAATTCAGTACCCTCGCGTCGTCATAATACCCAATCAAAGCTTCTAGCAAAACCTTGAAGAAAACCAAATCGCCCCTCTCATTCACATATTTCTCCTCGAGATGGTCAACTCAATCAGATCCGCGTCCACCTACTTTTCAAAGTTTTTTGAAAGTGTCAACAATTACACTCAAGACATTCACACGGAAGTCTCTTCACGCTGCGCGTCAACATCACCTTGTAACTCAGCCCATCCTCCCACATACAGCACAACACCCCCGCCTTATGAGGATGCTTCAACTCCACCTTCGTACAGCGCCGCCATTGGGGGTCTCAGTATGGTGGATAGAACAAATCGTGATTTCAAGATCTATGAGCGCGACCTCAAAGCTTTGGCTATTGAATGGTCAAGGAGAAAACACTATGGATATGAAAACGTGAGTATATACTCTGACTATAAAAATCGTGGAAAGTGCAACAACGAACAAAGGCTAAAGTGATCTTAATTTTTTTAAATTCTCAGTTCCGAGGTGGACCTTTACTAGCGCCTCGAAGAGTTATTGACATGCAAAAACTTTTCACTTTTATACTTCAACACAAAACTTGTCACAACGCGCAAGGCGTACCTGCCTGCGATTGCCGTAGTGTACGATGGGCTTTATTGAAGGCAGAATGGTTTGAAGTTATGCAGATCTTAGGGATCGCTGTTCTATGAAAGCAAGTGGAACATGGTACGTAATTATGTCAGATTCCTTATAGAAATTAAAATCTACACACTAACATGAGTTCAATTGTTTGATCTTTTCGCTTAGAGATGTCTAGGTTTATCTTGACTCTCAAAAAACTCAAGATATCAGTTGTCACGAGGAGTACTAGAACACACTCTGTTTTTAGTTCCCTTTTTGGTTCGAGAACGTCCATAGGTGTTTGATCATCATTTGCGCTGATAATCAATATCTACGGCGGCCGATGCCCTGGTTGCCTCAAGTGCGAGTTGCTCTAGCCTTGATGTTGGGATTCAATCTTTTAAAAAACATGGTACATGATAGCGCTTGATATCGCAAGTAGGGATATCCAGTGCCATCATTCTAGATCCGTTCTGTAAAATATATATATATAAGTTTAATCATCTTCATTTTGTTATTTTATTTTGTTTGCAATCGACTTTTCTTTGTTCATTACTCAAGAATAGTAGAGTACTCTCAGCCAGTGGTAGTGACTCTACACAATTGGTGTTTTTCTAAATTATCCTGAATGAACCATATAATACTTCACATCTAAGGTGTGATGAGATTGAAATTGTAGACAGCTATGAGGCAAAATTCCAAACTATACATACTCAAAAATATTGAGATATAACTCCAATGGCCAACATCCTGATCAAGCAACGTAGCAACCTGTCCGCATTGGTCCTAGTATCTAAACGTCTCTGTTCTCATCTCTATTTCTATTTCTTCTTTTTCTCTTTATTATCATATACGTTTGATCCTTGTCCCAAAGCAGCGCATGAGAGACACAAACCTGATCAAAGATTGTAACCTATGTATCGGAAAGTTATCACTATAAAGAGCACTATTGTTTGCGTGTAAATGTTGTTTTTCCTCACTCAAACATTCTTGTGTCTTATTCGTGCTACCTTCCAACAGGTGCATTTCTTTTCTTCATCACTCCTTAGTGATATCTAGCCAAAGCGCTCTCATTCATCACTAACTTGTGATTCCTTATCAGGTTAGCTAGTAGTTATATGTTTTCTCTCTTTTACTAATGCGTATCGTGCTCAGTAATCTTACTCAAACATTCTTGTGTCTTATTCGTGCTACCTTCCAACAGGTGCATTTCTTTTCTTCATCACTCCTTAGTGATATCTAGCCAAAGCGCTCTCATTCATCACTAACTTGTGATTCCTTATCAGGTGCATTTCTTTTCTTCATCACTCCTTAGTGATATCTAGCCAAAGCGCTCTCATTCATCACTAACTTGTGATTCCTTATCAGTCACGTGCACATTCCTATTTTATTAGGTTATGAGCCCAGCACAATCATCTTAATCAGATTCAGCGCTATCTATATCATCTTATGAACGACGGTCAATCTCGAACTTCGTCCGCACCTGCAACCCCAACTAACACCATCACCTACGATCACAACAACATTACTGAAGTAATGACGAGTCACAACTCCGCATCTGAAGCCACGCACATAACTCCTCTGGAGCATGACTGGCAAAGATGGTCGCCATTAATGCTAGCGCATTTCATGGAAGGCGACCTCGATTCCATAGTCGACGGAACCGAGCCTGAACCAGCTGAAGACGCCTCCGCTGCAGTCAAACTAGACTATCAACGTCGACGTAAGAAAGCTGCTGGATTCATCTCGAGGAAGCTAAGTCCTGAGAATCGAGCTTTGGTAATCAATGCCACTAACATTAAAGACCCCAAAGCCATCTGGGACGCATTAGTTAAACTTTATGCTTCTACCAAAGCACGTAATCGTGCTCGTATTCTCAGAAAATTCCTTAATCTTAAATGTTCAGATAAGTCACGGACAATCAGT